ACCGTTACAGTCCACCGAACGACCGAAGGTGGTCCGGGCATGGACACATGAAGTTCAAATTGGACCGGTTACAACCACGGCCATGTTGGACACCGGAGCCGAAACATCCCTAATAGAGGAGCGTTTCTGTCGGACCAACAATCTTAAACTTGAATCCCTGGGGTACTTCACCAAGATACTCGGTGTTGGCGGACAAGTCGCCTTTATGGTAACCCATTGCTGTACCGTACCGGTAACCTTGCAAGGATTCACCAGCCCCCATACCTTCCACGTCCAACCCAATAACTCGGACGTTCCTGTACTTCTTGGATGCGACTACCTGCATTCCAAGTTTGTCTTCACCCGGGCGCCAACGACCCCCAACGAGGGTCGGCGGAACCCATCTTCGGGTGTAGTGCAGCCTATCCCGATACCAGAGGCATCGGGCACGGCAGCGAATGAGGCTCGGATAAATCGGCTTGATCACCCGATGAACCCCGGACCCCCGATCTGCCCGCAATGCTCGGACACCGAACGAAGCCTCGTAACGGAGCTGCAAATCCATAATGCCATCGAACAATACTTGGCGAAAGTACGGACGACCCGATTGGAACCAGTCCGAGGGATACTAAAGTCTATCCCGATACCAGAGGCATCGGCCTCTGGTATACTTAACCAAAGGTACCGAACGTGGTTTTCCGGCATTCGACACCTCCTCGAAACCCGGACGGTGGTATAAGACTCGCACTCGATCGAGTCGGCGCAAGGACGGATGATCAGATCCGAGCCGCAAGGGAGGAATGCCAAGAGGTAATCAACCTGACTGAAGCCTTAGAAGAGGAAATCATCGAGTGGGAAGAAGAGCGGATTGTACTCCACGCACAATTTGTGGAACATCAGCTCCCCATACCGGCGTTACTGGAGATAAAGTCCCACGAACTGGGCCGACGCCTTATGTGGCACTTCCGGGACCCTTACCACTTCGGTACCCTGGATACTGCCTCCTTTTGGAGTCGATACGGCGAAGACACCCGCATAACTAGGGTCGTGCCGGACACTGAACCTCCGATCGAGCCTTGTAATTGGCACCAGGCCAAAAAAGTAAGGCTAGCCGAGGCCGTGCACCCGCAAAACGGTGGCCGCCTGGCTAATACACGGGCACAAGCCCCAAACCAACAGTACATGGCTTTAGAATGCCCGATCTGCCATTAAAACAACGGAGCGATCGTCCAAGCCCTCAGAACTAGGAACGAAGAAGTCTGGGAGCATGGTAGGCCACCATCCTTTGGACCTCCCGAACCGGGAAGGTGGGAAGGACCGACTCAGCAGACCCCAATTAGGGTTACTGACGGTCTACTTGGACCATCCGCCGGAACAGCGGAGGAAGGCGAAGCCGACGAATTCGGAGATTGGGACTCGGAAGTCTCGGATGTACAGAGCACAAGTGACTCACCGGACACTGACTCCGATAATGAGCCATCCGACCAATCAGATAACAACTCATCGGATACTTCCGATGACGACGACGATAATGATATCGGCTTCGACCCTTCGGTTCTATAGGTAGGAATCGATACATCCCCGGACGAACCCCCAAAAGGTGGATCGTCCGGCAACGAACCTTCGCAAGAAGCCCAACAACCCCAGAATGGAGGCTCGAACCAACGACGGGCTGAGTTAGAGCCCTGCACGAGCCGAGCCGCTCGGCTCGGCTCACGAGCGCTCGGCGCTCGCGAGCACTTCGAGCGAGCAGGCGTCGTTTTGCAAATTTGCGAACGAGCTGAGCAACAGAAAAAAATTGCGAGCGAGCCGAGCGAGCGGTATGGTCGGGTGCGAGCGATCGCGAGCCTACAGGCTGACAATGTGCGAACTGGAAAAGTTTCTACTACAAAACTACATTGACCGACCTGAAAACGGTCTTAAACCACCGTCACCTTCGCGCTTCGCGCGAAGTGATTTACTTACTTTTTCTTACACCGGTTGGGATTCGGTACTAAGTTTTGCTATTCTGTAGCCAACAAAAACATTATTTGACGCGTTTAAATCAGTTGAATGCTAAGGTGCATTTTAATTTTCGAGCATTCTATTATTTGTATTTATTTCAGACAAAATTAAGAAAGCTACATCCAGTTGAAAATTAGAGAAAGGTATTAGCGAAAAAATGAAACTGTAATGAAAACGGACTACCAGTATGGAGATATAAGTGATTGTCTCTGAACATCCAATTACACTTACTGATTTTTGTGTTAGTACAAAGTTTGGTCAAGGGGCCACCGAGACAGAGCATCCGCGTTGTCGCAGAAAACTCCAGGTTTGTACTCGATGGTGATGTCCTTGCCTTGCAGAGCCAAAGCCCACCGAGTTAGCCGGGGGTTGATGCCGGGTCTACTGGACTCACAGCGCATCAGGTTTTGCAAGGCTCGATGATCCGTTCTGACGGTGAAGGGTCCGTGGTCAATGAAGTGTTTGAACTACTGGACGGCCCAAACTACGTCTAGGCATTCCCATTCGGTGACTCCGTAGTTCTTTTCGGCTCCGTGGAGAACTCGGCTGGCAAATGCTACGGGGTGTCCTTCTTGCGACAGCACCGCGCCAAGTCCGGCTCCACTGGCATCGCATTCGATTACCGTCTTCTTGGTCGGGTCGAACTTTGCGAGTACCGGGGCTGTAGTTAGAGCCTTTTTAATGCCGCTGAACTCCGCTGTATGGTCGTCCGTCCAGTCTGTCCGGATGGAATTAGTCTTCCGAAGGAGTTCATACATCTTCGATGACCGTTGGGCATAATTGCGGATGAATTTCCGGTAGTAGTTGGCCAACCCGAGGAACGACCGCAATTGGCGTTCTGTTCGCGGGGGTTGGTGTTGCGCAATAGCCGCTACCTTTTCGTCGTCGGTCTGGACTCCGGCTTTGCTGAGGACGTGTCCGAGGAAGGGTAACTTGTCCGTTCCAACCTCGCACTTCGAGGGTTTAATGGTGAACCCGGCCTCCAGTAGGCAGTCCAGGGTAGCCCGGAAGGCTTCCTTGAATTCTTCGAAGGTCCGGCCGAAGAAGATGATGTCATCGATGTACGCAAAAACACCTTTCTTGCGGGCTTTTGCGGTTATCTTATCGACATGCATCTGGAAGGTTGCGGGTCCGTTACAGACTCCGAACGGCATCCGGTTAAACCTGTACATGCCCTCTGGCGTAACGAAGGTTGTCATGTCCTTCGAGGCTTCGTCCATTGGGATCTGCCAAAAACCGGATTGGCAATCTATTTTGCCGTAATATTCCATCCCGGCGCACTTGTCCAGTAGCTCGTCCGGGTTCGGGGGGTAATTGTTCTTCTTGGTTACTGCGTTCAACTTGATGTAGTTGATGCAGAACCTGGTTCCGACCGAGCCGTCCGGGTTCTTCTTGGCTGCCAAGACCACGGGGAAGCTCCATGCTGCGTCGGAAGGTTCAATCACTCCTTGGTCCAGCATCTCTTGGACATGCTTAGAGATGAACTCGCGACCCTTCCAACTGGTTCTAGTTGGGTTCATCTTAATAGGCTTTGCACCTTGGACGTCGATGACGTGGGTGACTCCCTTGACGTCACCGTAGGGTCGTTTTAAGGTTGGAAAGACAAGCCGATACTCCCATGCGATGTCCCGTAGAACTTGTCGCTGCTCATCAGTTAAGTTCTCACCGAGGTTCATGGAGTTGATGGCTTTCTTTTGTTCTTCAACGGTTGCCGGGTCTTCGTCACCTTCTTGGGTAAGTCTGACCCGGGCCTTTTGGTCGTCCGTCATATGTTCGTACGGCTCGACTCGACCCATTGGGGTTCCTTTCCGGATGGTTATGTCCTTGTTGGTATGGTTCGCCACGAGGATGGTAAATTTCTTCCCGTCATGTGGGGTCGGGCCATCCTTCATCTCGATGCCTTCCGCTAGGGCTTCCTCCGAGCCGAGGTGCATTAGGTACTTGTTCTTAGCGGGGTCAACTTCTATGTCAAGGGTTACCGTAACTTCGACGATGGCTCCGGGTAGTAGCTGGACCTTCTGTTGGGTCCGCCCCGTAGTGGCGTCATATTGTGTCGCCCTCGGTAAGCTGTAAGGTCGGTCTCCGTGCTGTGAGACTCGACCTACTCCCATCGGGATTTCCCATTCGATCCCTTCATTGTCAGGTTCGAACCCGTAAGTGTCGCTGTAGTGCATGTATCCGATCTTCGCACCCCTTCGGAGTACCTGGTTGTACTCAGTCGCGTTCTGGACCTTGATCCATGCCGTATCGCACGTTGGTCGGATCTCGATCGTGTCCTCGATCGGCCGAACTCCGGAGTGCTTCCGCCGGAAAGATTCGAAATGGATATACCGGTGAGGGGCCATGCTCTTTAGGGTTCGCACCAGTAAGGCACAGGTTGAGAAGGGTGGTAGAGTACACTTGTTCTCAACAAACACGGGCTGTCGGTCTTCGTCCTTATCCTCGGTATGGAGCTGAAGACGGTTGACGGTTTGGCCTGTAGCTATTGGCTTCGGCCTCCGTACCCGTTTCCATGGGTTATAGACGGTCTTCTCGGACTTAGTCTGTCGAACCGAGGCTGCCTTCGGTTTAACCGAGGCTCCGTCTGGACTGTATTTTTGTCGGGTTCAACCGGGTTACCTCCGACGAGTGTCGCCTGTTGGGCAATCTGTTCGTCGTCGGTCTGAGATACCTGTTGTCCCGCCGCACGGACGTCGTACGTGGGGCTACCTTCCGAGGATTCAGCTTCGGAGGTGTTAGGGTCCTGTTCCAGGCCCGTATCCCTGGACGTAGCCGAGGTTACTGGGCTGTCAGCCGGGTGAGAAACCGTAATTGCGGTTAACTCAGCCGCTGAGTTAACCGCAATTACGGTTTCGTCTACCCCATACGTACGGGTAATTAACGTAGTCGTACCGGACGATCCGGGCTCACAAGGCGAGTCGAGGGTCGGAACCGCAAAGGTACGGACTACCGAGGTTAACGGACCGGAAGCTCCGGGTTCACAAGGCGAACCCGAGGATGAAGAAGAAGAAAAGCCGATGGAGTCCAACAAGGAGTTACGCAGACTGCAACTCCGGGACCCTCACCTCCGGAAGAAGATCGATGAGCTGGAAAACCAGGACCAGCTGGACCATAAATCCCCATTGTTGGAACATTACCAGATAAGCGGAGGCCTACTGTACCGGCTGACCACCCACAACACCAAGTTGGAACGACGGTTCGTGGTCCCGCTCTTTATGCGGAAAGGCATCATCCGAGCACTTCACGACGGAAAAACCGGCAATCACTTCGGCCGCGTGAAGACATTGGAGGCAGCGAAGCTTCGGTACTACTGGGACCGGATGCTATCCGACATTCACGACTACGTGGATAACTGCCCCCGGTGTACCTTGGTGAACAACCCTCGGACCAAACCACCCGGTAAACTCCAGAAGATGGAGGTTGGTGAACCATGGTTCCGAATCTACGCGGACTTTAAAGGACCCTTACCTCGGACTGAGTCGAAAGGATACCAATACATCGCGGTCGTCACCGACCAGTTCACCAAGTTCACCATCGCCCGAGCGACCAAGATTAACTCGGCAAAGGAGTTTGAAAAATTCTTTGTGGAGGATGTTGTCCTAAAGTACGGCATGCCGACCCACCTTCATACCGACCAAGGATCCCACTTTACGGCTATGACCTTTGCCAAAGTGGCTAGGATCTTCGGGATCAAGCATACCTTCGGAACAGCCTACCACCCAGAGGGTCAAGGCCAAGTCGAACGTTCCATGCAGACGATATGGGATGGAATTCGGAAGGAATGCGACGCCAAGGATGATCACCGATGGCACCGGAACCTACAGTACGTAGTATGCGGAATCAACCGAGCGAAACATGCGACCACCGGGTTCTCACCCTACTACATGCTGTACGGACGTGAGATGACCATACCCCAGGACGTCATCACCGGAACCAACGCACCGGAACAATACACCGACAAGGAACAATACATCAGAAGGATGAAGGAACGGCTTCAGAGGGCTCACGACATCGCGAAGACAAACATCGACGAAGCCTTCGAGAAAACCGCCGAACTTTACAACAAGAAGAAATCGGTACCGGACTTCCAGAAGAGAGACCTCGTCCTGGTAGAGTATCCCAATAAGGACCCTACCAGGAAGGAACGGTACGATGGAATATGGACGGTACTCAACTATAAAGGACCCAACAACCTTTGGCTCCGCAACGTCGAAACCGGAAAGGAGGACGTCGTCGCCGTGGATAGATGTAAGCATCATCCGAGCAACAAGCGCCGGCGGATAACCCGATCTTATGGCCAAAAGAAAGCCGAGGTAACCCCGGGTAACAGCCTTGCAACGGTGCCGTACCCCCATGAGGGTCAGCCCGCTCGCAATACCCGGGCCCGAAAGGCAAACTTAGCCGAAGGAACCGGCAAAAGAGCCTCAGAAACCGGACTTAACGTCAGTTCTGGACCCCAATAAGGGTCCGTCCGACAAACTAAGTCCGGAGGAACCTCCCAAACCAAAAGGAAAACGCGGCCGACCGAGGAAGAAGCCTCCGTCGGACTTCGAGACACCAGCCCTGCAGGAATTGCAGAAGCAGGCTGTGATAGAGGATGAACCCAAGGTTGTCCCGGAGAAGCCCAAGGACTTAGCCGGATTATCCGAGGCTACCTCGGAGAAGTCGGTGGACTTAGCCGCAAAACCCGAGGCTACCTCAACCAAGCCTAAGGAGCCTAAGGCACCGAAGGAGAAGCCGGTAAAAGCAAAGAAACCGGTGAAGAAGCGACTTGACACACCGGTCCCGGCAGTTTCAACCGATAAGGCGGTTGAACCCCCGGCTCCAAAGCGGAAGTACGGGACGGTCAAGAAGCCTAAGTTAACGGCTCAGGAGGTACTTGAAGAAGCTCAAGTGGCCGAAGATGAAGCACATAAGGACATCCTTGATAGGATCGCTGAAGGACGGGCAGAACCGGTCAAATCGACCAAACCCACAAAAAAGCCCAAAACAACAAAACCCACCACACCAAAAACATAGGGCCATAGTTAACCTAGAATAAGTTAGGGCTTAGCTAGGACATAGTTAAGAATGGACCTTTGGTGTCGGAATGGAACCTCTTCAGTTGTGCATGGAATCTTCAGTTGAACTTATTTGGCCTTATCAGAATGCTAACGAGCCGTTTCTCCTTTATCTCAATAGCCTCTCATAACGATGTCTGACCGACGACGAGACCCTCCATCGAGCGGATCGAACAGCAGCCGACGCGATACCCGACGATCTCAGCCGTACCCGCACGACCGATCGGGTTCCCGAGCTGAAACGCGTTCGGCCACCCAAACCTTTATTCCACAGGTAACAAATCCGCATGCGAACATAGCGGCAGATTCTTTGGCAGGTTTAACGGTCGGGTCACGGATGGTCACTCAACCCCGGACGATCCCCCTCCAGACCTTGCCACCGGGCACTATGCTCGACGAAACCGGACTTTTGGTGAATGTGAGCGCGGCCACCGGTCAGAACGTACCGGCAGTACCGATCGACCCAATAGGTCAGATCCGCCCGCCACTTCTACCGGGGCCATTCATCCCCGGACCAGTCATGCCACCGACGCTACCATATATCCCGATTACGGTAACGAGCATCCAGCCGGCCCCAATGGAGCCGCTGATGACTCAAGCCGGGATGAATCCCATGCCGAACCAAATGTTCGCCATGTTCACCCAATGGTGCAACCAGACGGGTATGAACCAGCCACAAGGCGGCGCGGTCAACCCTCTGATGGGATACCCCATGGTCACTGGACCAATTGGAGCCTCGCAGCAGCCGACTTTACCGGCGGCGCCACGTCAGGACGGCACAAATATGCCTCCGGTGGTATCAGCGACGGCTCGACCGGAACGTCAACGGACGCCATCTCCGTTCACTCGATATTACGAGGACGGAACGAAAGCCTTTTCGGTTCATCTTCTGAAACGACCGAAGCCTCCGACATCATCGGCGGAGGTAGTTCCGGCACAACCAATGGTCGGACCCTCGACGGTCGGACCCTCGACGGTTGAACCACGGTTGAACCCTCGACACCCGGACCTTCCACAGCCAGACCTTCGGCAACCGCAACTACGGTTGAACCGACTTCGGTTGCATCTTCAGCCGGATCGCGAAGGCAAATTCGACCCTCGGAAGAACTCACACTGGGTCTTATGGAAGCTGAAAGCGAATGAAGCCTCGTCCAGCGCAAGATCGAAGCTCTCAAGTTGAGCGATCCTAACTTTGCGCAGGAATTGACCCGATTGAACTCGGAGATGAAGGAGCTGGAACAGTATATCCAGGACACCCGGGCCATACTCAAAGCCCGGAAGTCAACCTCCGAGACTCCAGCCTCGGAAAGAGGGCCAGCCTTAGCAACCGCAACTACGGGGGCTTTGGCTGCATCGACCAACCCTCCTCCCAACCCTTCGATAACCGAAGTGCACGCACTGCTCGGACACACCGAAGCTCTGGTGGAACAAATGCGAGACCAGATGCGAGTCGAAGGCCTGGAGAACCCGAGGAATGAACGGACGTGGGTCAGCTCCACATCTGCTACCTAACCAAATCGTATCAACCGTAGTCAGCTACCGAACCCGGACCCTCAATAAGGGACACGGCGGTGGACTTGACCCTGTACTACGCCCAAACGGCCCGGAATCGCAGTGTTAACCACGTTCTGCTACCATTAAAAAATTACAGAGTCAGCCACAAGTGCGGCTGTCCGTGGTGATCTCAGCGAGGAAGGCAACCTGCAGACCGCACCTAACCACGACTGACCAACCTGTCTTTCGATCCGAGCAGATTGCTCGATACCTCACCGGACCCTAAAGGCTCCGGGGTTTGAGGCCCAATAGGCCTCTACCTGCGGATGAAAATTCTAAGTTCCGTCCCTCCGACGTGGGAAGCGATATTACCTACATCGCGCGAACGGAAATACCTCGGATCGAAAGACAGAGTCCAAAGAAGTGGAACTGACCGGACTTCACCTCATGAAAGGCTCAACAACTACCTTGTGAACCCAATAGGTTCCGAGGCAAGTGCCCAGCTAGGCCTGATGAACCTTTAGGCCCTGGCCAGAGCAGATTTGGCCGACTAGGAACCTGACCGCTCTGGCCAGGACCACCAAAATATGGATCTCACCTTACCCTCCGGAAATGGACGGTTTGAAGCGAAGTCGGACATGGCACATGAACCCTCGATAACTTTCCCGCGAACCCAATAGGTTCCAGGGAAGGAGCCCAATAGGCCGTCAGAAGTTAGCGGAGCCTGATCCCCTGCGGACGACCAAGGCAGAGACTCAGACCTCGTCGTCAGTAGCGGAGAACCAAACCGGCAACCCTCGGACTACCGTAGTTCTGGAAGAGAAGCCCCCTAAACCACGCTAGTCCGGACCTTCGCACGAAAGGCGGTTTCTCCGCGCAGATCAGCATGATCTGCTGTTCTGCACGGATAATCCACTCCGGCAGAAGACTCTGGAACCGAACTTGGATGGATCCCTCGGATAGACCCGATAAGTACGAGTTCAGCCTGAATCGTACCGGACGTCTCCCCAGGCTTCCCCTGGATGAACCAAACGGAATGTTCCGGTCTCCGGTGACAATGTCAGGAGGCGAACCGAGCCAAGCAGCGAGGGGATGCAACCGAACTAAAGGGTTAGCCGACCCCCGACGCTTAGCTGGCTCCAGCTGGATCAGCGACTCCGCCGACCTGCTATCCCCGGAGCTAGAAGGGAACATCATAGGGCGTGGTAGAATCCCGACCCACCATTGACTTAGGGAGTAGACCCCAATAGGGATACCCCGATGTCCAACCCTCCGACCCTCGGTCTAGAAGGGTCGAACCTGAAGGAAACCATAGTTCACTGGGATAACTCGCACGAATAGTGGTTGGCTAGCGGTGAACTGTGACTATACAGTTCATCTCTCGTCAGCCTCTCCGGCAGAAGGATCCTGGAGGCTAACCCTGGAAGAAAACGTGAACCATGGAACGTCACATCGGGACGAATCGTACGAATAGCGACTGGACAAGCACAACTGCGCGAAACACAGTTGTCCCTGTTCAGGTCCCTCCGACAGAGGACTCCCGGCTGATTAGTTCCGTAACTTGGACCGTAGAGCCCAATAGGCTCTTACCCCCGAACCCTACCAGCCGGGACCTCGTGGATATAGGCAGCGAAAACGTCCTATATCAGCAAGGCCCTGGTGACAGCCTCGGTATCGGACCCTTCGCACGTAAGGAGGTCGGACAGAAGTCCCCAGCATGATCTGCCGGGTACTCCTGCTCGTACCCAGCCGGCAGAAGGACCCGGTGGACATACAGTTCCATAATTCTGACCCTAGGAGCCCAATAGGCTCTTAACCCCTAACCGAATGCGGACCGTTTGGACCGGGAAGCGATATCTCCTGACCACTCGACCCGCACGACCAACCTATTTCCGGAACTCAACCCAAGAGGATTCCGCTAACATGTTGCCGAAGAAGCAACTGCCGTCTTCAGCACCATGTTTGCCAACAGACCCATGGATACCCCGGGAATCGGAGTAATAGCTGGCTGACTGACCTTTATTTGAAGTCAGCACGAGAGCCCAATAAGCCTCGGCAGCATAACTCCGGCGGAATCCGTCGTACGAAAAGCGACGGGACGGTGCTGCGCGGCGCGACCCGCTTCGCTCCACCGGCCTGTCACTCCGGCAGAAGGACCCTCGGAGGATGCAAGCCTCCTCAGATCGCGTATAACCACGATCTCTACCTTACCGTGGATGCCCATCGAGGCCCAATAGGCCTCCCTTCCACCCCGGAACGGAACGGAAGATGTGGGACATTAGGGCACACTCATGCCCTTACCCCTACTCACGAAGCTGTGTTGGAGTAATGGTATGAGTGACCGGCATGACCATTTTACCGCGAATCGGACCGTGGTCACCGGAAGGATATACCGTGCATTCCTTCGCGTCCGACATGACTGAACCCCCAACGGAGGCTACGGACGCCCATAACTACGCCAACAGGCCCAATAGGCCTTTAGTCCCACATCATTCCGGCATCCCGGGTGTTTCCGCCTAAGTGGAGGCACGGGATCCGCCGAGGAACGGACCAGCATGGATTCCGTCTTTAAAACTTAGAGTGTCTACCTCTTGGCTTAGACCCAATTAGGTCTTATGTAGCCGCCGAGGAGCCTCTCCTGCATGATTTTTGCTAGTCACCCGGTGGACATCTCCAGCATCAAGCGGACTCCCAACAGAGCATGTTGGGCCAGTCTCGTTACCGAGGCTCGGACCCCCGGACACCGAGGCTAATTGACCCTCGGATACTTGTTCGGACCTTGTCCAGAGGCATTCACCCTCTCCATGTTACCCAATAGGTGACGGGAGACGTTAAAAAGGGTTTTTGCCCGGGCAGAATGCCTTCGGACCAGCCTTAGCGAATGCTGACTACCTCACCACCGAGGCTACCCCGGACACGGAGGCTGCCTCGGGCAGCAACTTTACCTTACCGGCGAGACCCTCGGTAGAGTTGCCCAATAGGCGACCTACACCGTTAACAAGGGTTTTTGCCGAGATGGAACGACCATCAGACCTTCGGATACCGAGGCTCGGAACCTCTGACCCTCGAGGCTCGAACCTCCGACCCTCGGATCTCAACCTTCAAGTCCGCAATCCACCCTTTCCTAGTTATCCAATAGATAACCACGGATGGACTTGGGATTTCAATCGGACGGAACACCCAGCATATCGCGGAACTGTGACTTATCAGCACTTATCAGCACAGCCGAGGCTTGGAATCAACGACCCTCGAGGGTTGAACCTCCGACCCTCGGGCTCGGACCCTCGAACCCTTTTCCCGGCAATCATCTCCTCCGAGTTACCCAATAGGTGACGGGAGACGAACTTAAGATTTTCAGCCGAGCGGAACATCATTATACCCATTTGCCAGAGCAGCCGAGGGTACAACCCGGACTCTAACTCGAGTACCGAGGCTGCCAACGGACTTAGACTCAGCAACCGAGGC